CTGCTATCCAAAATCAATGAACGTACTATGCACTGAGGACGCATTTCGTCTGGGTACATTAGAGGAAACTGAAACGTGATCTCCACACGATTCTGTGCAGCGTCCTAAAATCAACGAAGTAAACAAAAAACAACAGGAAACACTAAATTCAGGAAAATAACACCATCTAACAACATGAAGTACACTGCTACGAAATATCTGAATGCTTTGCTCGGTTTTGCATTTCGGATCTGAACGCATATTGATCCATCGGTCGCTTCTTCAAAGATCCGATGATACAGCAACTTTCAAAACCAAATGGTCTCAGTTAACAAGAAAAAAAGAGGAGCATGTTTACGCAGTTTGGATGACCAGCGCCAAAGAAATGTGATGTTGTAATAGAGCACTGATTTTATTCACTTACCTTGTCATCTACTTATGCCAAAGATGACATTTTAGTAGCATGATGACACAAATCTACAAAATTATCTTCAGGGCAAACAACACTTCCACTTTTTCTCCTGATTTGCCTGAAAGTTGTGTTATCAGTTTTATGTTTTATTTAGTTTATGTAAATAGTTTTGGGACATAACAAAATAATCATATACAATGAAAAAATACAATCGTAAATTTTATGTCCGAAAAGATTTACCTTGAGATTAAGCGTAAATAGCACAACAGAAGGTAACTCATTCGTTTGACCGTCAATGAACGACCTGATTGGCGCTACGCAGTTGTCATCAGGATAAAACATTTCCTCTGACACAGCGTACATACTCTCCAACAGCTCAAGTTCAAACAGTTGTTTCTTCAGGCTCTTCAACAGAGCCATGCTGGTCCTATATGCAAAACTGATGGTAACTAACCTAAAAAATGACAGTCGAAACATCAAACTCTAATAGCAATATAAAAAGTACATGATACTGTAACAGAGCTTTATTCGATATAACTGTTCTTTAAATAGAACATATAGCACTCAGTATACCATACACAATAGATCAAATCTCCACGTTCACTCATTCAATGGGCTATATGTAGGAGCCACATTATCATATGTACCGCATACAATATACCTGTGTTGTTTAACCTGAATATAACACAGGTGCATAATACACGCGTCAAAGGTACATCACATGATAACGTTTACTAGAATATGCCTAGAGTGGTATTCCATGGATAATATATGATGCATGCAGTAATAAATAGTTACATCTCCTGTATATGCATACTTATGCATTTAACTCCACCAAGTCGGGCTTAGCACAGAATGACATCGTTGCTGTTCCTAGATATCTAGCAAAGGACAAGACAGGAAAAGAGAGGATAGAACAGAAAAAGACAGACCAGGACAGGGAAGAAACTCCTTAACTCAGATCAACTGCAAGAAGACTTCCCTGTACAGCAACTGGGAACGGATATTACTATTTCTATAGATGAAATCACACAGCTGTTAAAAGCTTGAAAAGGGGAAAGGTTGCTGGTATTGATGAAATCCTCCCTGAAATGCTGAAAGCAATATGCGAACAAGGCATATAGTGGACGTGTCAAACTGCAATGACTACGAAGAAGACACCAGCGGTCTGGAGAACATGTTGCTGCACCCCTATTCAAGAAGGGAGACCACAGGGAGTGCTACAATACTCGGACATAACCTTACCGATGAACCTTACGGCATGCCGCGGAATAACTGACTTCAAGTTACAAGAAGAACAGAATGGCTTCCGGCCCGGTCGAAGCACCTCTGACCATATATTTGCACTGTGCCAGATTGTTGAAAAATCGTGGGAATTCGCCAATCCGGTGCTTGCACATGTGCTTTGTTAACCTGAAGAAAACCTACGACCGGGCCCCTCGCAACAGTCTAGCCATGACTGCGAACACATCTGATCGATTGCCAAGGGCCACCCAGCCACTCAAATTTACTTAAATGAACCCTAAAGCATATTATTAATTGACAAAAAAGCCGGAAGTAAAAGTTGGCTTATAACAGGTTGCAGAATCAATGGATTAATCAACCAGAGTCTACAGCCATATGACGAGAGTAACTTGTTTCCTTCCCATAGAGCAGTACTCATTTATGTACCTCGAACGGAAGCAGGAAGAATTATCCCGACAGTGGCTTAAGCTCAAAACTTGAGTGGAACTGAACCCAACAGTTCTCCCTGGAGTTCGAAGAAGACTTCCTATTAGACACTGTGTGAACATGCTACACAGTGAGAAGAATGAACCAAAAACGAAGTTTATGTAAGTCAAAAGATTTTGACTGACGCGCATGATGTCAAAAGTCTACCATTTTGACCAGAATATCCAGTTAAATTGAGTTTAGACGTTGATAACAAAGCTGTAAATGCTTAATCATCGAATTCATATTTTTCTCAAGACATCTGGACAGAACATCAAAACCAGCATCAATACTATCCAAATATATATTCGACGGCAAATATATACTCTCAAATACTGTCAAGACGTACTGTAGAAGCCTGAAAAGTACTCAAATCATCGATATGCAGATTTAGAAATTTCATAAGCTCTGGCATGACCAAACTGAAGCCTAATTGGTTCCTGCTGTTAGTAGATCGTCGACTTCCTCAAAGCTTTTTGGCTTATTTCCGAGAAGACCGATTCAATCACCCTTTTATTCGAGACAAACTGAGAGCGTCAAAGATGTGCAAATTCGTTGAACACGCGTTATCACGTCAGGTATAAGAACAGAAGAGACATTCCTAATCAACCTGACTGAATAGCCCGTTGCAATCAGTAACGTTCTAAACTGCCAGACAAGAATTTATTCAAAGTAGTTCAGTAGTTTTCACCAATTTTGGTGCTTTTCAAAGCTAATAAAGTAAATTTTTAATACTGCGATGTAGAAGGCAGCAAACCGCCACCAAAGTAATTCCTTCTTACAGTAATTACCATCAAATTTCAGGTTATCGTCAACTTACCTGCAAATCACATGATAGTCATCTGCCCAGGTTTAAAATTAGAAAAGTCTTTTACTGGGTAACATCACATCTATTATGTGCATAATTTCAATGTTTAAGATTATGGTAAATCTGTTTTTGAAAAAAAATCCAATACAAAAAAATTTCACGTTACAGCATTGTAACAATCATTTATATTATTTCGCTCTCTGAAACCGATCGAACACGATCCGAAAAATTTGGAAAACGTGGGCATAGTAGATTCTATTTGCGGTGCACTTTGGTAACAGACTTATTTTTAAATGTGAATTCAATTCTCGCAACCGTACTTTTACAGACCCAAGCCCGAATGAGAAAGGAGGTGAGTTGGAAACTGTTGTTAGGACTCCTCTGGTTCTTAAACCCCCCCTTATGCCTCACGATATTGTTGTCATAGAAGGGTGCGCCGGGTCGATTTTCGCCCCTGAATACAAAGGACCACACTGGCCATATGGGAACTGAAGCAAACCGCAGGAACTGACGGCTGCCGAAGATTGGCAAGAAGTCGAAGAAGATACCAAACAACAACAGAGCTGCTACTCGTTCTAAACGTAGTAGGTAGGCAGCGCAATGCGATTGTCGCGCCTCAGATAAGGTTTCATTGGAACGACTCTGACAGTAAGAGCGCACAAACGGAAATTAGAATAGCTCATTATTCAACGAGAATGATCATGATCCTGTTTATGAGGCCGCAAGGTACCGACTCGACGTAGTTGTACTCTCGTTAAAAAAATCGCCATGGTTCTGGTATTCTGAAATTCTGATGGTGGAACTCATTCTACTCAGATGTCGATTAACGATCTACGCTCAGGTCGATCGTGGAGTTCTGGTAGAACCCGGTACGCCTGACAGAATCGTTGAATCGAAGTCTGTCAACGGAACAGCGGCACTCTTCCGACTTAAGTTACAAGAGGATAAGGTTTAACTTTGCAAGAGTCAATGCGCTAAATTTGGAGAAAGAATATGATTCGTTTCTGCATAACGCAGAACGTGATCTGTGCGAAGTGCCGACTACGGAGTCCATCAGACCGACAGCGATATAAACGCACTCATCGGAGAAGACATGGAAAGGTTGAACGACTGATTGGAAAGATCAACCTTAGCCTCCTTGACAATAAGGATATAAAGTTTTGCGCTCTTTGGCGTATAAACCTGCCTGTTTTGAATAGTTTCTTCGAGCATCAAGTCCGGCTCAGTACTCCTGACGAAGGCAAGTTTGTGAACGATCAATTTCCTAACCCTACTGTCTGATTTACGACATTCTGTAAGAGATGCTCGCATTATGAGAGGCTCAGAGCTGTCAGTCGGTCATTACCTTGTTACTGACACCCCCACTGCAAATGAATAAGTACTATAGGGAAAGCTGACGGCTGAATCAACCAGAAAATCAAATGGCAACATTAACTTCTGTAGATATGCAGGCAAAACTTGCAAGCCACATTGCACGACGATTTGAGCAGATCCCTGTGATGACGGCCAACATGAAATCCGAGTGGAAGCTCTTAATGAGCGGCTTACTCGAGGCTGCTACCGAATGTTGTGATTTTAAAAAAATTTGCCTAACACCTGGAGTTCAGTTCTCTAATGGGTATGAGAGGTTCAACTGGGTGTCATTGATCAAAAGGTTGAATTCGATGGATGGCTTGGAAGCAAAATGTTTTCAACTGGAATGCTGTACGAGAATGCCCACATGTTGGCAGCGAAAGTAATGATCAGAGCGGAGGCAGATTCCTTGGAAATGCTCATTGAGATCAGGGATCGAATCTTCAGACGGCAAGTTATTCTGGCAGACCATTGTCAGACGCCAAGATGGAAAGTGTTATATTTTGAGAGGGCGCTATCTTAGCATATCTTGTATTGATGTACTCTAATGTCAAGAACAATGTCTACCAAGAATGAAAACATTCCGGCCGCCGCCGGCAAAATTATTTTTCAACTATTGATACCTGATTCGCACGACGAAAACTGTAAGGCAAAGTCAAACACTTTACAGCATTACGGCGGTAGTAAAAGATATATGACAGTCTTTGCTGATTTTATGTTAATGACTTTACCGTCCAGTATACTGTACTAAATAACTTTCCAGTTCTCACGTTGTAAATCAGATATCACTTACTGAAAGCTAATCTTTGCCTGCGGCGGAAATATAATCATGTCATTCTTGGTAGCAATCCAATGCCGTGTAGGTTAATTATTAATTACTGTGTATTTGCCAGAGGATAGTTGCAATTGTATTGGTGTTCGAATATGCTCTTGCTCAGCTCAATGCACTTGGATCACTTGGTCAGACCTGAAATCGGCGACAGATCGCTTTTGCCGGTGCATACCCTACATTCCTCAAAGTTGCGAGCCTTTGCACTCCAAGTGCAGTCCCCTTCAGCTCCCTGTCTAATATTCTCACCGTCGCGGTAGGAAAAGTCGGCGATTATCACTGATCATCTCCATCCGGTGAGCCGAACTGAGTGCTCAGCCCACTGTAACTTTCCCTTTCTCCTTTTGACAACGATGTCCTCATTCCCGTCAGCTGCATGACCATTGGTCGCGACGTAAAGTTCCCAACATTCTTCGTTTCATTGCTCTGTCGGTGACAGATACCTAGTACTCGTCGGCTTTCGTGAGTAACTACATCTCACAGCCATACAGCATTGCCAATAGTATAGTAGAACTGTAGAGACGAAAGATCGTCACTGCTGGAGAAATGGATGAAAACTCAGAGGAGGCTCGATTGATGTGATGACGAAATGAAGAAACATACCATCTATTGCGTTATTTGAATGGCGAAGATTAAGCACTGACGTCATGACTTGTTCAAGCTTACTAATTAATGTTATCATCACTCAACGCAGAGGACAGCGCTCGTCAGTGCGCGTAT